CTTTGTTCTCTAGAGAACTTCTCTTTTGGTTTGCATTTTTGTTATCTCCTTTTGCACTGTGGGGTTCAGAACACGTCACCCCAAGTTGTGCCTCTCTGATGTGCAGACTGCTGAGCTAAATGCAATTTTAGATTTGAGCTCAAGAGAAACTCCTGCCCCTCCCTTAACTACCTAGAAGAACTTGAATCAGGGTCCTTGCCCATCATAAGAGATGAGCACAGATAACATCTGCTGACCTTTCTACAGGGCAGGACACACGACTAATTACTGAGTATCTGCTCTTCCTATCATCCTGCAATGGCCCTTTGAAGCCCCCCAGCACCTTACCGCATCCCTAGCTCAGGATGTCTAATATACCCATGTTCCCTTTCCTGAACCTTTCCTGCACGTGGGGTCTCTGACCCTCTTATGTCTGCAGGATTCTCACACCTATGTATGTATTCAATATGGTTATTTTTCTCTCACTAATCTCGTGCCTATTTGATGATCACACCAGCTGAAAGAACCTGGAGGGTAGAGGAAAGTTTCTTCCTCCCCCATGGCACCAGCTTTTAACGAGTACATAGCCTCCCTACCCCCACCCCAAAGTAGGCTGCACTTCTATATGTAACTTTGGAATTTGCTCTGTGACCTTAAGCAAATTGCTTAACCTCTCTGAGCCCGTTTCCTTTTCTACAAAAAGGGTTCCTCCTACCTGACAGACAGGCGTGCATGAGACTCAATAAAATAGTGAGTGTGGCACACAGTAAGTGGAACAAATGCATCTCCACAGCCGGCCTCCTTTCTATCAGCAATACCCCCAATTTTCTGGTGGTGCCTTCCCTGTTTCCATTCCTTTAGAGTTGGGGGTAGAGCATGTGACACAGCCCTCCAACAGTCAGCACATGGCATTGTGTCAGCCAGTGGCTGGTTCAGAGTGTCATGTGTCCCAAGCTAGGGCAATTAGAGTAAGTTTGGGGCTTTTGCTGGAGACACTGGGGCATTTCACCCCTAGGACGGGGCATGGTCCCTGGAGCTGCTAGAACCTTTGCAGGACCACACAGGGACAGACTCTGAAAATGGAGTCCATAGAGAAACTAGAGTTGGTGATAGCCCATAGGACCCTGACTCCTGAACGTTTCCACCTTCTCAGCAACAAGGGCTCCTACTCTTTTATTTTCAGGGACACTTTTAGGGGCTAGGAATCCCAGAATAAGAAGGTTTTAAAATGTAAGTCCAACATCCTCAGAAGTCCCCAAGGTTCAGAAATCTAGTGGCAGAGTCGGGACTAAAATTTGAGCCTCCTGATGTGTATGCCAGGGCTCTTTCCACCAAACGCAGTCTCATCAATTCCAAGACCGATAATACTTGAGGAGGAAGGGGGAGGTTGGGAAGGAATTGGGGAGCCGTGTGGGCAGACCCGTGTGCCCGGGACAGTTACCTCCCATAAAACGTTCACCCAGGGGTCTCTGAGGGGCAGTTAGATGACGTGGGGGGTGAGCAAAAAGGCAAGCCTGGAACTTCTTGCCTTGCCAGCATCCAAAGGCGTCACTGGAAGGAGAAGGGACAGATGCTGGCAAGGCGAAAGCAAAAGATATCCTCTAGGGATGTTAACGGGTAGTCCGCAAAACGCCAACTATAACATTTTTTAAAGGTGCTGAAATCAAATAAATTTAGGAACTACAAAGATATTTATCACAAGGTCTCTCTCAGAGCCATCAGCTGATTAACATGCATTTTGACTCTGCAAACGGGTATTGGAGGAAAAAGCGGCTTTTTTCAACCGGCCCTGGCTGCAGGATTCTTTCTTAAGAAGCTTCTCCCAGGACTCATGGGCCACCCAGTGCATTCTGGGAAAAACCACACCAAGCGCCACCCACAGCCCGCACTGCTGCCACAGGCAACACCTTGACAGTAAGCCCTCATCACGGCTCAGTGTGCACAGGCCTGCACAGCTGCCAGCACCTGCCTTGCATTGCTGGGGGCTGGCTCTGGCCATGGGAGCCCTCTGTGCTCCGATGAGTGGCAGGCCTGACACGATGAACCACTAACAGCCCCTGAGAGCAGCCCTCCACCAATGATTGGGAGGGGATGTATAAATACCCCCGCTCCCTCCCCAGGCAGGAGGGCTCACACCCACTCCTCCTCACTGCCTCCCAGCTGCCCTGGCAACATGGTGCCCCTGTGGCCCACAGTGGTACCTGGCTCTCTAATGCACGCTTTGCTGGCTGCCTATCTTTCCTGTCTCACTCCCCCACTCCCCTGCCAGTATCTCTGGAATCACCTCCCCAAGAAACTACTTGCACTAAGACCCTTGTCTCAAGGACTGCTTTGGAGAGAACCCAAGTCATGAGACTTGTTACCTTCTGATGGCTTTTAGAAGCACCCAGATGTCTCCCCCCAGCAATTTTGGAAAACACGTATCACTAAATCTACCTTTCCTCCAACAACAGACTTCAAGAGAAAAGCTATTTCTGCTCGCCAGCTTCCATCTGCAGGGATTCTCCCTGGCCACACTGTGCTAAGAAACCCCAGCCCTAGCCCCTTACACCCAGATGCCATGGCTGTCTGTCCAGCCTGACTCATTGGCTGGTGACAGCAAAACCATATCCACTCGCTGGTCCAAGAAACACACGTGGGAAGCTGCCCAGTGCCTCACACAATGTCCCTGATGCACCCACCAAAGCAAGAAACCTGGGTCACCCTAGACTTCCCCATGCCTCACAACCTCCAGCCAGCCTGTCACCACATGCCAACCTTTTCCGCATTCTACCTCTCTGAGTTGCCTCTGCCACATCTGCTAGCCCACCACCGTTTCTCATGTGGATTGCTCCAACAACCTCATTGTCACCTCAGGGCCTTTGCACATACTGCTCCTAAGCCCTGGAGCACCATATGCAACTCACCTGTGTGGCACAGACAGCCTGCTGTTCACCATCTCCTAAAGCCACCCTACCCTCCTGCCCCCATCCATTCCCTCTTTGGGCCCTGCTCTCTCTTCTTATGAAATCATTCAGATGTGCAAACGCTTAAGAGAATCCTATTAGCTAACAGTTGTGTGGCCAACCCTGCTTAAGAACAAGACATTATACGTTTCATCAAGGCTTCCTAAACTCCTTCGCTCACTGCCCCACGGTCACCTCTCCCCTGAATAGGGGTTCCTCACCCTGTTACCTATCTTGATATACTTGCATACATACACATATCCCTGAACAATACACATCTTTTCCTCATGTTTTTAGCTTCATGTAAATAAAACAACTTGTTCTCCTTTTTCCACTCCACATGCTGCTGGGGATATTTACCAGAGACGATGGGTGCTATTCATGTGCATTCATCCTTATACGCTGCGGAGTCCCCCGGGGTGACTGTCCATTCTCCCGGGGACATCTGTGTTTCCAGCGGCTGGCCAGGATGGTGCTGCCCTGAGCCTCTTGTGCCCACCCCCTTAGCCCCTGGGCTAGTTTGCCCGGTTTACACCCAGGAAAGTGCCAGGTAAAGGGAAACACCACCTTCAATTTACTGATGCTGCTAGATTGTTCTCCAACAGGATTGTGCCAACATTACCTTGTTGGTAAACTGTTTCTGTCCACCAGGCCAGGTGCCAAGGTGCCTCTGCCCTTTTCTATTTGCCCTAAATGACTTAACTCCACCTGTTGATATCCAGCCGGTCCAAGGCCCTCCCCAGACCTCCCTCCCTCCCTTCTCCAGTTGGGTCTCTTACGAGCCTCCCCATTTGGAGCAGCCGGCACATCAACCAACATCCAGAGCAGGAGGCTGGCAGCCATGACTCTGGAGACCAAAAGCCACAGAGCGAATCCCAGATTTGCCACTTTGTGTGCCTTTGGGCAAATCATTTCTCCTCTGGGAGCTTGTGTTTCCTCACTTGTGACATAGGGATACCTACAGTAACCAACAATAGGGGAGTGGCAATGATTGAATGAGATAAGCGATCAATAAAGAGAAGCTATTAATTACTGTTACCTTTGGAGCCCACAGAGATCACGCCAAACAACGTGATCTCTCACGACCACTTTGGTTGTAGGAGACAGAAACCCCAGTCAAGCAGGTGGGAGGAAATGGTAATTTATTGGCCCATGTAACTGGGAACTCTGAGGGGTGTCTTGCCTCAGGTGTGACTGGATCCAGAGGTTCGGACACCATCAGGAAGTTGGCCCTGTCCATCTCTGGGCTATTCTGCCCTCCACGATGGCTTCCTTCATGGGCAGGGGCTCCAGGACTTCATCCTTCCAGCTTAACCACTGCCATCAACACAAAGAGCGTCTCCTTTCCTACACTTCCTGGCCAAGTCCCAGGGCTGGTCCTCATTGGCCCAGGCTCGGTCACATGCCCACAGCGGAGCCAATCACAGTGACGGGGGTGGGGGCCGGCAAGACGCTGCTGCATCCAAGTGTGCTTTTAGGACCAGCAGGCCAGAAGCGCTTAGGAGCTCCTTGGAAAGGCAGGATCTCAGGCCCTGTCCCAGACCTACTGAGTCAGAAGTTGTGTTTTGGTAAAACTTCCCCGTGAGCCGTCTGCACATCACAGTCCTGAAAGCGCTGCACTGGATGTTAACTTTTTCAGTTGCTCAGACAATTTTTAGGTTCTGTTTTGTTGAGAACCACGAAAGGTAAGAACTAAGAAAAGTCCTTCAAGGTCATCAAGTCCTCCCCCTTGTTTGAAAGATGGAGACATTGGGGGCCAGCAGGGAAGTGTCTAGATGCCCGCCCAGTGCATCCAGCCCCACGCCCTGCTCTCCCATCAGCACAGCCATCGTCTCCCCAGGAGGAAATACATCTGGGCCCCAGAAGAGCCAGCCTGGGTCAGATCTGCCTCACTCAAAAGGTGACATGGCCTAGCCATCACTCAGCCCCTCAGGAGCAGGGAGTCCCCATGGAGGGTGCGCGCGCGCGCGCGCGCACACACACACACACACACACACACACACACACACACACACACACAGGCGCAGCCCACCTCACCCAGACTCTGACCACTGGGTCCCCCAAAGCCAAGAGCACTACAAACTACACCAGCCTTTATTCTATCACAGAGTAGGGCTGGGGCCAGGGCAGTTCATTCTCAGGCTGCGTCAGAAGGTGCAGAGTGGTGGGGGTACACAGACGGGACCCCAAAGTAACAGTAAGTTAGGGGTAAAGTTCTCAGGCTGTGAGGCTGGAGCCAGGGCAGGGTGCCAAGGGGGCCCCCCAGAGGCACTGCTCGCTGCCCAGCTCAGGCCTCTCAAGCAAGGCTGGTTCCAGGACAGGTTGGCCTCATACTAGAACACAAGACAGGGAGAAAGGAAGGGGTTATAGGGTCAGGAGGTGTGTGTGTATGGGTAGGGGGGATGAGGGGGCAGTCCCCAGAGTCAAGGAAGATAGGACTGAGGTGGTAAGGAGGGTCAGGAGCCCGCAAACCCAGGGCTGAGCTGGGAGGGCTGGGCTGGGCCGCTCACCGTTTCTTCAGTTGAGCTTCTACATTCTCATAATCAGGAGCACCCTCTTCCTCCTCATCCTCTGCCTCCTGGGAACTCAAGGTGGCTGTGGGGGGAGGGGAGGTTGGTCTTCAGCTCGCAAACCACCCCCCCACTCAGGGAGCTCCCCCAGCTCCTGCCCCTCCCCCAGCACACACCAGGCTCGGCTGTGGGCTGCAGTTCCTGGGACACATTCACGTACTCCCGGCTCCCATCTACGGGGACAGGTCAGATGGAGGGACAGCCATACCGAGGCTGAGAGAGCAGGAGGACACCCGGACGGGAGGACACCCGGACGGGAGGACACCCGGACGGGAGGACACCCGGATGGGAGGACACCTGGACAGGAGGACACCCGGACAGGAGGACACCCGGACGGGAGGACACCCAGATGGGAGGACACCCGGACAGGAGGACACCTGGACAGGAGGACACCCGGACGGGAGGACACCCGGATGGGAGGACACCCGGACAGGAGGGCACCCAGACAGGAGGCGAGAAGGCCACAGAGGGTCATGGGCATGACCACACGGAGAGTGGGGCTAGGGTGGCGAGGGGAGGGGCAGGGAGGGAGGGAAGATGGACCCTAAGAGGGCACCATGGGGCAGAAGCCACTCACCCAGAGACGCATCTGCATTCCCCTCACTCTCAACGTTCACGTAATCTTCCCCCGACGTCTCTATAGGAAACCATCAGAGCCCTCAATGCCCAGTGTCCCCGAGCGCAGACACCCAAGGGATCCCCACCACAGCCACCAAAGACTTTCAACACAATCAGCTCAAGACTCCCGCACACAGATGCCCAGATAGGGTGCCCCAGACAAGAGATGCCAGCGGCCAATACTAGGGCAGAGGCCGTGGCAATGGAGAGAATTGGGCAACTTGACCAGAACTGATCAGAGGGAATGCAGTGTGGGAGAGGAGGGGCAGCAGACCCCAACAGTGCCCCAGGTTGGGGAGCAGCTCAGAGCAGTGGGGCTGGGTACCATGCATGAAGGGGTAGACAACACTCAGGGCTAGGTGAAGTCAGAGGTGCCACTGGCCCAGCCGGCCCCTCTTCCTCAGCCAGGCCCGCCCTGACCCCCACTGGTGTCTTAGTACCATCATAGCACCTATCGCCATTGATAGCATCTTGTTTCTCTGTGAGGACATGGACAAAGCAGGCTATGGACCCAGACCACCCAGGTTCAAATCCAGCTCCAGCACTAACCAACCCCCATAACCTCAGACGAGCTACCCAAGCTCTCTGGGCCTCAGTTTTCTCATCTGTAAAATAGGATGAGGACCAGTACACATCTCATCGTGGTGTTGCGAGGACTAAAGCAGTGAATCTGAAGTGTAAGTATTAAGCGGTACGTGTTACCAAGCATCTTTTAAATAAATAAACCCTGCCATCGTACAGAGGGGACAACTGAGGAGGGGAAGGGACCGGCTCAGCAGCTCCTGGGAATTGAGGTTTAATAAGCTAGTACATGAAACTCTTAGTAGGGCATGTATTAGGCCCTTAATAATGTTAGTTCTTTTATCACGACTATGGCTCTTCTGTGAGAGGCACCCAGTAAATATCATGAATGAATGAGTGAATGAATGAAAAGAAGTGCTTGGACAAAGGGAGCTCACGAGAGAGGTGATGAGTTGAGAATCTGGATGGCAAATGAAGCCAGCATGTAGAAGCGAAGGACCGGGGCACGTAGAGAGAAAGAGGAGAGTAACAGAACACTTAAGATTACCAAAAACTGAAAAAAGCTTTTCACAGGCAGGATGAGACTAAAACAAAGGGAGAAAAACAGCTCAAAGGAAACTGAGACAATGCAGGAAGCAGAAGAAAAGTTCCAAAACAACAAAGAAAAACAACCTATAATCAATCCCCTTAGAGATTTACAAGATGGCCTTGCCTCCATGAAACAAGAACAGGGAGCCATGAAAAAGGAATATTGGGAAATCAAGAAAGAGTTTTCAGAGAGGAGACAAAATTAAATGAAGAGAGTCAAGGAATAGAGCCCAAAGAAGAACAAAGTCAAGGAAATCTCACAGACAATAAAAGGGGGAAAAAACAACAACAAAGAGGAAAGAGGAGAGAAAAAGTAAGACAATCAGAAGATTGAAGCAGGAAGTCCACTGTCTGAAGGACAGGAGTTCTACAGAGAGAAGAGAATACTGAGGGGTTGCAAGCATCCAAGACACAACAGGAAAGGAAAGAGTGGAGGAGCTGGTACAGAGAGGCAGGGGCGGGTGGTCGCAATGGCAACTCACTGGATAAGGTGCTATCTCGGAGGCCGGGGTTGCTGGGCGCTGGAGCTGCTGGGACAGCGGTGCTAATGGCTGGGGCTGTATCAGGAAGCACCTCCCTGAGGGGAAGTCGAGGGGCGAGTGAGCTAAGACCCTGGGCTCAACCGCCACCGCCCCCCTCCAGACCACTCACAAGTAGCCCGGGTTGTGATAATCATCATCATCATCGTCTTCATCCGTATCCTCATAGCCTGGCTCTGGGGTAATGACACAGGGGTCAGCAGAGCCCAGCTCAGGCCCCAGCCCCACCCCCACCCCAGCCAGGGCACCGGGGTCCCAGACACACCCTCGTTTTCGTAGCTTGCCACGCTTTTGTCTACGGAGGGAGAGCGAGAGGGAAACTGAGTCAGCTGAGGCGGGGCCTATCCTTTGCCCAGCCCCAGCCCCTGGGCCCTGCTGCACACTTACTGCCATCTGAGTCCTGCCGGGAAGATGGCGTGCGGTGGGAGCCCACTTGGGGCTGTGGGGACCTCCTGGGAGTCAAAAGTCAGAGGTCATGCCTAGAATGGGGCTCTGAGGCAAGAGGGGTTGCAAAAGGGAAAGCGGCCCCCAACTCAAGTAGCTGAAGGGTCAAGAGGGGGACTTAAAGGGGAAGGTGCTACTTACGGGATGGGAAGAAGGTCTGGATGGCTCAGGGGTGGGTAGGACGTAACAGGTGGATAAGACGTGGCTGGTGGCCAGGGGGTGAACGTGGCTGAGGACACAGGATTGGGCTGAAGGAATGACTCCGAACGTCGTGCCCCTCCCCCAATCAAGGCCCCTGAAAGGGCGCACTAACGCCCTGAAGCTCCTGTGCCCTGGACAGGTCTGGGGGTGCCCGTCTCCTCCCCTCCCCCATCCCAGCTCAAGTCCAGGGCACTCTCTTCCCTACCCCAGACAGAAGGGACCCTCCATGTACTCACGAGGCCGTTTGATCATGATGCTACTTGGGGTCAAACTGGCAGGAAAGACACATCTGGGTAAGGGGTCGGGAGAGGCCCCAGGCCCAGCCTCACATAGGAGATCAAGGGAGACACACACAAGTCAACGGGGCATACTCACCTATCCGACGCTACACTGTCATATGAGTCTGCGGAAGAGAGGGCCAGTGAGGCAGGAAGAGGGGGTGACATGGGAGAGGGTGATGGAGTCTGGGGCTCTCAGTCTCCATGTGCAGGACAGTTAAGACAGCTAATGATGGAGTAAGGGATGGGGGATTGGGGCTAGGATCCCTGTGAGTACGTCTGAGCTTTCAGTCACCCTGCCAGCTCCCACTTACCTGGCAGCTCTCGGCAGCGCGCACACAGTGCCATCAGCAACACAGCCAGGAGAGGCAGCAGCAGGGGGCCCAGCACCAAGGGCAGCAGGATAGCCGCCTCCATCTGCAGAACAGAGCTGGGACCAGGCCTGGCTGATGGCCAAACGCCCTCCAGGGCAGAGCAGCTGCAGGGGCGGGGGGAGCCGGGCCAGCAGCGATGCCGGGCCCAGCAGCACCAGGCTAGGAGCCTGATGAGGGGTAGCCGCGCCCTCCTGGAGGGCTCCCTGGGTCCCCTCCCCTCGCTAGACTGTGTGGGGGTCAGCGCTGGCTCTGAAAGACGCTTAATCCCAGGATGGTCAAGCCAGGGCCTTGGCTGGAGCCTGGGGCACCAGCCGCCCATGTGGACCCCACGCCCAGGCCTACCTGCCCCTTGGCTCCGCGCCTGCCTCTCCTCAGCGCCTGCCTGCCTGCCTGCCTGCCTGCCTGCCTGCCTGCCTGCCTGCCTGCCTGCCTGCCTGCCTGCGGCAGGAAGCTGTGGTGAGCGCCGGGTGAGGGCAGGAAATCATCCGGCTCCTCAGACGGCTGCACCCACCCCCTTTCCACCCCCACCCAGCCTGTGGGGAGGGGGGGAAGAGGCCTGAGGAGCCACCCCCAGGTCCTCAAGGGTCTGCTTGCCTCCAGGACAAGGGGCAACGCATACCAGTGTGGGGAGGACGACAGTTGCAGGCCAGCCAGGGACATCGCCTCCACAGCCGTGGCTCCAGGAGGCAGCACAGAGGGATGCCAACAGTGGGAATTTGGAGGGGCACAGGGCAGTGCCCACCCCGCCACCCTGGCCAGCCTGCCAAGAGGGGCGGGCTCTCGGGGAAGCAGGGGCGTGACTCACAGTCACACACAGACAGCTCACTCCATCCTCTGGTTCACCCAGCCCAGGAGCCCCACAGGACTGACCCAACAGCACCCTGGGGCTGGAGAGGGGGTATCCCACACAGTTCAGAGGTTGGAGGTCACTAGCACCCACAGAGACTCAAGCAGGCAGTTGGGGTCTGACTACAAATTTTATTCAGTTACAAATAGCACCAAGCCCCTGGGGCTGCTCCAGTGGAGAGGGGTCCCCTCCTGGATTCACACCGCCCCCCCCCCACCCTTGGCCACCCTGTAGTGTATGGGAGCGGGAACGCGGCCCAGTGCCCCTCCTGGAAGCGGGGCCAAGCTGGGGGCCTGGGCCCGGGAACCTCCTGGGGTGGGCCCGAGGCCAGCTGTGGTAGGTGTGCAGGTAGGTGAGTGACAGCCCCTCAAATGAGCACGCTGGACACGGGGACCCGGGTGGAGCGGCCTCGCTGGGGCACCACGATGCGGTCATCTTCCGGCCCTGCCTCGTGCAACAGACCTTGTCGGGGAGGGGTCAGAGCCAGGGTTGAATGGACAGACAGACACAACGCCAGGGAGGCATCAAACAGGCAGTGGGAAACAGATGGGGCCCCAGAGCTTTGGGCACAGCAGGACGTCAGTATGTGGGCTGGGCAGACCCAAAGCTGGAAGAGGGGAGAGCTGTGGCATGAGAGGTACCAGGGACACGGGCTAGGATGACAGATGAACAGACAAGCAGGCAGAACCATGACCTTGGGCAAGGGGCCGGGCATGGACAGGGGGAGGAACCGACTAACCCTGCACATGCAGCTGGGCCCGCCGGCGGTCACCCTCAATGAAGATGGCGGTGCCCAGGAAGGCAGCCCCGCCCAGGGCCCCGATGAAAGCGCAGAGCATGAGCGAGAACTGCAGGGCCCGGAACTCAGACAAGAAGGACGGAGGCCAGCTCCGGCGGAGGCGGTCGGAGATCTGAGGAAGGAAAGCCAGCAGTCATGGAGAGGACAGTGGGGAGAGGGAGGCCCAAACTCCAGCAAACAAAGACTGGGGCAGATGGCAAGGGGCTTGGAAACTCCAGGGAGAGGTCCACGGCCTCCCTGTGGAAACCTGCAAAGACAAAACCCTTCCTGTCTAGTGGGGGATCCAAGGTGAGGGGGGCCTGGCAGACGACTCAGACACGTCCCTGGGACCAAACCTTCCGTTCAGCCACCGGCCAGTGCTAGGAATGCAGGGTGCCCCGACCCCCACCCAGGCCCAGCGAGAGAGCAGTGCTCACCAGGCCAATGAGGTAGGGGCTCCCGGCATCCCCCAGCAGGTGGGACAGCACGATCTGGAAGGCCTCAGCAGTGGAGCGTCTCGTAGGGATCACCACATACTGGCAGAAGGAGGGCCAGGAGACAAGGGGAGGAGGGGAGGGCCAGGGAGGGGCCAGGACTCAGCCGAGGCTGAGGTCAGAGGTGAACCCCAGCTTAGGGGTGTCACTGGGGGAAGGGCAGGGCAGGCCCCGACTACAGGCCCGTCTGAGGCTGGACTCTGAAGTCAGTCTGGGGCTAGGGTTTAGGGAACCGACAAAGGCCACAATTCAAGGCAAGTGAGGCCTCCCGCCCCACTCCTCACGCCCACCGGCCTCTGGCCCAGCCCTGGAATGGCCCACCTACTCACCAGCAGAATATCAGCCACAATGGCCCAGTTCATGGACAACAGCGTCTCCCCAATAAAGATGAAAATCTGGGGGACCGGGAGGTGGGGGGAGCAGGAGCTGAAGTGATCTCATTGCAAGAAGAGTAAACACTCTGAGGCCCATCTGCTAACTCATTTAATCCTCACAATACCCCTGAGACAGCTATGATCATTCCCATTTACAGATAATGAGCCTGAGCACAGAGAGGTTAAGTCACTTACCCCACGCCATACAGCACCCCATTCCTCCACCTTGAACCTCAAAACCCCCCTGGACACCTGCTGCTACTCACATAAGTGGCTACGATGCTGCCACGGGCACAGGCGACAGACAGGAAGAGGAAGGGTGCAGAGCCCAGGAGGCCAGCAGCACAGACCAGTGGGTCGGCCCGGGGATTGAAGCGGCGAAGACGACGGCTAATCTCCACGCCCAGGCCCACACCCAGGACCCCGGTCAGGCAGGTGATGAGCCCAAAGATGAGGCTGGGGGCGGGCAGGGGGAATACGGGCTAGTCCGTCTACCTGCAACGCCCCCAGCCTCACTCCTGTGGCCTGGAGACCCTCACAACCCAGGCCCTGCGGCCCACGGTTCCGAGCTCCCACCAGCTGTTTCCCAACCAGGAAATGGAGACTCTGGGACAGGAGGTAGCATGTGGGGCTGGGGTGTACCCTCTTCCTGTCTGAGCCTGAATTGTCCTCTATCCGCTCCATCTCCTGCCACCCGCAGGCCACCCAGCCCAGTCTCCACCTGGGTACCTGTCAGAGGAAGAGCAGGAGTCTCCAGGAAGGCAGGGAGGGGTCTCCCCCAAGACCACGCGGGAACGCAGCAAGAACGCAGGGGCCCAAAGCGCCAGGGAGCCCGTGACAAAGGCCACGGCCGTGAAGCCCAGGGAAGACAGGATGAAACTGGGGCTGCACAGGTCGTTGGAAGGGAGGACGTCAGATTCCACTGAGGCATTAGGGTAGGGGACTCTGTTCTCCCCTCCTGGCTTGTTTAGTAAGATCAGGGCACTGCAGGTGGAGGCCACCCTGGCTTCCAGGATCTGGGCCTGCAGTTCCCGCAGCTACCACAGGAGGCAGTGGTGACTGCATTCCTGGCCCTGGGGAGGGCAGGCTTCGGCTAGGATGGAATGAAACTCACTTTCTGGCCAGAGCTCTCAGGTCTGCCCACCAGGAGGTGGGGTTCAAGGGTGGTGAGTCTGAGTGGCGCTCCACAGCTCCCCTCGGCGGCTCTCGTACTACTAGGAACAGCAGCAGGACAGCCACCACTCCCAGACCTGGTGTGACCTGGGGAAAGGGTGGGCTTCAGGCCGGGCACAGGCAGACACACTCAGCCCCTGAGGCTGGGAGAAACGGAGGGCATGTAAAGGCATCTGAGGCACCTGGGTTAATGTCTGCTCAAGGAAGCTGAGCCAGCAACTGGGGGGAGGAACGATGGCCAGTAGGGGCCATCCCTACTTCTGCATGCCTGGCTGCTCCCTCTTTGGTAACAGCGCCCTAATTTTCTTTAGGGAAACCACTCCCCCACTTCTCCCCATGCATGTGGTTCAAACGGGGCAGGGCTCGGAACCCAGACTTGGCCCAGCCACACTGAGCGACTCGGTGGCAGACACGTGACCCATGCTCATCTAATAGGATGCTACCCAGGACTCCTGCTCAAGGGTCCTGGAGGCCGAAGTCTCTAAATGGGAAGATAATGCGTGGAGCTTTCTCTTGCTTGAGAATGAAGTTAACATAGAGGAAAGTAGAGCTAAGAAAAGGATGATCAGGTTCCTGTGAGGGTGGGAGTCCTGGGTCCAGCTGGACTTGGCACTCATCCTGGGACTTTCCATCATGAGAGCCCATTGGGGGCTCACCATCCCATTTGGGGGCTGACACTTTCACAATGGGTTTCTGTCACCTGCAGCCAAGAGCTCTGTCTGGAGCATGGCTCTGTGGTAAAGGGCGGCAAGGCTTCCTGCAGGCTTGGCAGAGGAAGCACTGCCTTGAAAATGGGGTGCCGAGAGGTACACACCCCCAGGTTGAGACCAGACTCACCCTCAGAGCCCAGTGCCAGTCTCCAGCCATGTCCTTCACTTTGGAGCCGGCAATGTAACCCAGACCACTGCGGGGGACAGGGGTGGGAAAAGACAGGGGACAGCCGGTCAGTTGTGCCCAGGGCCACGCCCTTCTGAGTGCCCACCGGACAGGCCCCAGGCCCACACACCTGCCCACTGGGATGGCGAAGTAGAACACGCTGAGCATGCGACTCCGTTGGTCTGCCACGAAGAGGTCAGCGATGAGGGTGGGGGCGATGGTGGAGTAACTGGCCTCCCCGACCCCCACCAGGCCCCGGGTCAGGAGGAGCAGCCAGAACCGCTGGGGAACGAGACAGGGGGAGGTGGCACCCACCCTGCAGGCAGCCTCCCAGCCGACCTCACCAGCCGGCTCTGGAGAGGCGGCAGGGGTGGCGGGAGATGCCAGTGTTTTAGAATCAGACAGACCTGAGCTGGATGCCTGGCTCCACTACTTACTAGCTGTGACTTTAGGAAAGGAACTTAACCTCTCTGAGCCTCAGTTTCCTCATCTGAAAAAGGGGGATAATAATAACTTGTTCACATAACTATGGTGAGGATTGGATAATAAAATGTCTATTCATTACCTTGCGCCCCATGAGTACAAAATAAACCTTAATTTCTATTTTGCCAACCCCACCTGAGACACCCCACCAGTGAATAACGATCTTAGGTGGGGGGTTATTTGTTCACCAAAGACACCTGTAGCTAAGGACCGGGTACGATCAGCCAAGGGGAGTGTGCAGTGCCTGGGGCTGAGGACAGAGTTCTCGGGAGAGAGTGAGAACTGACAGGGGAGATTTCAAAGGAGCCAAGGAGCAACAGCCAGGGAGGCAAGAGGAAACCAGGACAGTGGCATCAAAGAAGTCAGAAGAGTTTCCGGAAGGAAGAAGTGGGTCAATAGAGCCAGAGGCTCCCAGGAGAAGTGGCAAGAAGAGGACTAGGAAGTAGGGGGTACATTTGGCAAGCGAGAGGTCACTGTTGACTTTGGCAATGGAGAGGTGGGGGCAGGTTGGCCGGCAGCGCTCGGGGGGTGAGTGGGAGAGGAAGTGCAGGCCGAGCGAGGGCCTCTCCCCGGCTGCTCCTTCACCCAGACTGGTGCTTGCTTAAGGCAGTCTGACTTTCAGGAAGTCTGACTAGGAAAGGGGAAGAGGGAGAGAGGGCGGTGCAGGTGAGTTCTTTTCCACAGCAGGGAAAGAAGCTGAGTGTTTAGGTATTGAGTGGAAGGGGTCGATGGGCAGAGGAGAGGGGATGGTTCTGGAAAAAATGGGAGAGGACAGGGTGGGCAGATTAGCTCAGGCAAGCAGGTGTAAGGTGGATGGACCAAGGAAACGGCGGAAGTTCCCCAGGCCCAGTCTGCAATGACTCCAAAGAGGAGCAACAAAGATTGATGGGGGAGTGAGCGGGGAGGGGGGTAAACAGGAGCCATCGTGGGGCTTCTCACCTCTCTGGGAATGAAGGACGACCCCAGTGTCACCAGGGACCAGAAGGCAATGCCCCCACACATCAGATACTTCCGATTGTACCTGTCCCCCAGGTAGCCAAACACAGGTGCCAAGACCATGTAACTGGAGATGAACACTGAGGGGGGAAGCAGAGAGTCACAGCCCAGCCCCGGTACCTCTACCCAACCCCCCACCCCAGCTCAGGGCGGGTGAGGGGGGCAGGAATAACTCCCAGCCCTGAAACTATCAGGGCTTCCTGCCCCAGGGGGAGTTCAACCCCCTCTTCAACTGTAGAATGGATGGTCCAGCTGACACATCACCTCCCGCCATTCAGCCAAGAACAAAATCCGAACTCCATACCCTGGCCCCCAACATGCTGTCAGGTTCCAGCTGACACCTTTCCAAGCACCAAGCCTGCAGTCTCTCTCTATCACATTCACTGTTTTCTTCTACCCAACACTGATTCCTATGGAAAATTATCTCATTCTCAGTCTAAGTTTTTAGGGACTGTTATCCCCTCACGCTCCATGAAGATACGGACCTCGCCTATACTGGCCATCACTGTGTTTCCATCACTTAACACATGGCCTGGCATAAAATAGCTGCTCAATAAACACATGTTGGCTGCAAAAAGTGAATGGGGCTGCCGAGGAAGACTTGCTTCTTCTCTAACGCAACAACTCTTTAGAATTTTGCAGACCTTGGCCTCTGTTCCCATTCTCATTTCTCTAGACTTTTCCTTAAATAGTTGCAGTTCCTTACTGGCCTGGATTGGGGCAGAGAACACTGCGAGACCTGGCTTCAGACCCTCTTCTGCCTCTACCTTGTCGTGTGACTCTGAGCAAGCCTTTACTCTCCTTTAAACCTCAGTTACTTTATAAAAATGTAGGTAATACTGGGGTGACCGGTTTGCTCCGTTGGTTAGAACGTGGTGCTGATAACACCAAGGTTGCTGGTTCAATCCCCGCATGGGCCACTGAGCTGTGCCCTCCCTAAAGAGTCAACTATGCTATTGTAACATGAAAAGCAATGTGTAACCAATGACCATGGCTGCTCCCAATGAAATTAAAAAGAAAAGAAAATGTAGGTAATACTACCTACTTCTTCTGTAAATTAAGAAGAATGCCTATTCCTTGGCTGATGGAAGGGTTAGAAGATAGTGGGCATACAAGGTCTTGGTCAAGCTTTGTGGATGTTATCACCGCTTCCTCCAAAGCCTGGCACATAACAGGTGCTCAGAAACGTTCAAGAAATGAATAAAGGAAGGAAGGAAGGAACAGAGGATTTGGCCCTTGTCTTTGCCTCTCCTTCAAATTCCAAAGTTCTGAACAAGCAAAGCTCACCTCTCCCCATTCCAGATGCCCTCTTCCGCCATTACTTATGGGGTGCCTGCCACATTCTCAGCACCCTGCTACACACTTCACAGGCGTTATCCAATTTAGTCCTCAGGTCAGCCCTAGGAGGCGATCTGGGTAATGACAAGTTCCATCTCACCAACAAAGAAAGTGAGGCTGAGAGACTGAGGGCCATCACATTGTAAGTAGGTGGAAAGCTGAGGTTTATTAAGCCCAGGTCTGCCTTAACCATCACACTAAACCGACTCCCTCTGTAACAGAGGTAGGTGTCCCACTAAACAGAACAAACTCCAGAGCAGAATGGGGGCCATCTATCTCTTCCCCTGGCTCTGGCCACTACAACTCCATCACTGAGGCCCCAGGCCCGCCAGCGTGTGGCCCCTTCTCGGGTGGGAAAGGAAGATGAGCTGTCAGCGTTCCCAGGAGGGGCCTCCACTCACCGGTCTGGATGAGCCCGGAGCTGCTGTCTCCGATGGCGAAGAACTGCTCGATGTCGGGAAGGACGCCTGGGAAGAAGACGCGTGTGGGCCCCGCGAGGCAGCCCCGCCTTGGGGACCCCGCTCCCTTCCCCTCCTCTAACCTCCCCCCAGAAATCAGTACCAGCCACGGTGAAGCGGTCCATATAGTTGAGGAGGTTGATGTAGCACAGCACGGCCACGATGAGAGCCGAATGGCCCGCGGACAAGCCCGTGATGCGCTGCAGCCCCTCCGGGTCCGGGACCTCCGGACCCTCGGACTTAAGGTTCCCCAGGGGCCCCGGGAAGCCTGGGGTGCCGGGGACCGGTGCGTCGTCCGTGTCATCCGCCTGGCTGAGGAAGGGCGCGGTGTCGGACCCCGACATGGTCCTGGGGGGCCGCGCCCGCCCGCGTTCAGGTCCCACCGACGATCCCACCTGCGAGGGGAGGAGGCTGGAAGCAACCCAGAGCAGGGAGGTGCGCGCACAGACGCGAAGCACGGAGCGCGGCTGGGATGAAGCCCGGGCCCGGTCATGCCTCCCTGTCCCGGCAGACACCCCGCGCGAAGGGGAGGAGTGGAATTCAGGTGATGGCGGGGACAGGGGCGGGTTGAGGAGGGTCAGGTCCTTCCCTCCCCCCCAGGTGGAGGCCGCCCCTCACCCCAGGTAAGAGCCCACTACACCCGCTGTCGCTCAGCCCCGACGCTGCACCACGGCCGCCGCCATGATGCCTAAGAGCCTGTCATGTGACGATGGAGCCTGGGGGGCGGTCGCCACCTTGTGCAAAATCTTGGCACGTGACTGCCGAAACCTAGTGCGCATGCCCCTTTGGTTTCTCCGCAGGCTCCGGCACCACGTGACTGCCGGCGGTCGTCCGGGGAACCAGGGAGCAGTCCCAAACCCTGCGCCTCCTCTGAATCTCGGCTTCCTTATCTGCAACACCCTTTTGGCAGACTTCTTCCCAAACGAGACAGTGGAATCTTAAAATGTTCTGAAAGATAGTAAATATCGCTAGAAATGCTAACGAGCAATTCTTGCGCTAAATGATAATTCTCTTCATCGGTGTTTGATTTTGGCTTCATACATGCTAAGAGTTCAATGAATAAATGCGTGCTGAGCAGCGGCCCCCAGCCCTGGCCTCTCCCCATCGTTCGGACTCCCCAACCCAGCTGCCTGAAGACCCTTGAGCTTTCCCTGTAGACACAGAAGGGAAAGGTACGCAGCACCCCACTCTGCGTCTGGAGCAGGTTTTCCTTATCTGCGACCGGGACCCAAACTCTTGCGCCCTCTGGTGGTCTCTTTTGAGGCCGGCAGAGGCTGGAAGCCTAAAGAGATTCCTACCCGCCCGATTAGGGGACAAAGATCGCAGAGCCCTGGCAGCAGAGGATAGCTTAGAGGGGTTCCTCATGTCACCCCACCCCTATCCCCAAGATACAGATAATAAACATCCACTCTAAGTAAAATTAGTATATAGTTCTATGCAAAGGCTGTTTCAAGACCCCTCTTACAACCACACCTCTACTGAAATTCTGGGGTCTCAGGGCCAGAGCTGGGGCCCCCGAGGCGCCCTCTCAGAAACTACTTGGAGTCTTGGATACCCCTTGTTGGCATTGTTCCAGGAGATACTTCATGTCGCAGAACCTTATGCCTGGTCTTCACTGAGGGTTTAAGGGAAAGAGATGGAGAGGAACTTCAAATGGTAGTCACTGAATTTTCGCTACAAGATATGATTATTTAACCACGTGCCTGGCATTGTATCAGACGAAAGCATATTTAGATCTGACCCCTGTGGAGCTCCTCTGGAGGAGAAAGATATCCATACACATGTAAAACTCCATGCAAAGGCAAGCCACAGGTTGGAGAAAATATTTGCAGACCGTATCTGACAAAGGACTTTCTTAAAACTCAGTAAGACAAAAAACAATATATTTTTTAAAGGTCACTGTATTTTCTTTTTTAAAAAAAAATTTATTGGAGAACAGTGTGTTCTTCCCAGGACCCATCAGTTACAAGTCAAGTTGCTGTCCTTCAGTCTTAGTTATGGAGGGCACAGCTCAGCTCCAAGCCCAGTCGCCAAAAAATACAATATTTTTAATAGGCAAACGATTTAAACAGACGTGTCACAAAAGATAAACGAATGGCCAACAAGTGTATGACACCCTTGGTTATTATGGAAAATGCAAATTAAAACCACAATAAGATACCACTAACTATACTAAAATAGTTTTTAAAAAAATAAAGAAACTGGTAATACCAAGTACTGGAAATGATATGGAGCAACTAGAACCTTCACGCAGTGTTTGTGGGAATGCAAATAGTACGGCTGCTTTGAAAACAGCTTGGTACTTTTTTTAAAAAATGAAATATCTACTTCCCCTATGACCCAGGAACTCAGCTCCTAAGTATATATCAATGAGAAATAAAAACATGTCCAAAAACTTGTAGGTGAATGTTCATAGACACACTATTCATAATAGCCAAAAAAAGGAAAATAAAATAAAATTAAAAAACGTGTGTATCCATAGGTGAAAAGTATATCCACTAGATGGAATACTGTTTGATGATATACACAACATGGATAAATCTCAAAAAAAAATGCAAGTGAAAGAACCCAGACACAAAAGACTGCATGTTGTATTATTCCATTTATATGAAAATCTAATGAAAAAATGGAAAATCTAGAAAAGGCAAAACTAAAGTGACAGAAAGCAGATTAGTGGTTGCCTGGGGTCAGGGAGGAGGGGCAAAAACAGGCACCAGGAAAATTCTGCAGGATGTGTACATCTACTAAAGCTCATTGAACTGTAGACTTAAAATGAGTGAACGCTTAGGCATTTAAAGTAAACTCCTATAAGGTTAAAAAAAAAAAAAAAAGAAAAGCCTGTGGTCCAAACACAATACCCCTGGACATTAATGAAAGTAAAACTTACTGGTTATAAAGGCAAATACAGAAGATGCCAAAAAAATGTATACACATTTTAAAAAAGGAAAAAACTATTAAAATTGTAAATCTCAATATATACTGATAACAAAAGATGAATACAAGTCACGTTTGACTTCTGCAATTACAAGAGGTGCTCAAACTAGTTCCCATCAGCGTCCAGACACTTCTGATGACGGCGGACTACTGTTTGAGCAATGTTGACCAAGGTGTTCACTTGCATACATTGTTTGGCACCCCCCCCGTATTTTGATGCTAATTGGTTTTGCCAAATGGGAAAAATATTTGGCTCTTCTCAGGTTCTTCTCTGTACAGGTGCTTTTTAAAGATGTGATGGATCTCTTGATTAACATTCCTTTAAGATCAGATAAATAAATATGTCTGTACAGGTCTGTTGGTTTAAAGTGGAGCCCATGGGCCAGCCGAGTGGCTCAGTTGGTTAAGAGTTAGCTTAAGAGCGCAAGCTCTTAGCAACAGGGACGCTGGTTCGATTTCCACATGGGCCAGTGACGCTGCGCCTGAACTGAGCTGCCGCTGAGCTGCCAACAGGTGGCAGGATGGCTCAGCTGGTGAGAGCACGTGCTCCTAACAAGATTGCCTGTTCGATATTGGGCTATGCCCGCCTGCAACTAAGACTGAACTCAGCACCTTGAGCTGAGCTGCCGCCTGGGTGGCTCAGGGGATAGAGCATGCATTCTTAACAACAAGGCTGCCGGTTTAACTTCAGCATGGGATGGTGGCTACACCACCCACAACAAAGATTGTAACCTTGAGCTTAGAGGCCACGAGCTGCATATGGGCAGCCAGATGGTGACTGGCGCCCTCCACAACTAAGATTGAACAATAACTTGATTGGTCCTCCCCCC